GCCCGTATAACTAAACGGGTTAAGCGTGTTAAACGGGCTGGCACGAATCTAACTCGTTTATTTTCGTGTTATTCGTGCCAGCTCGTTCACAATTCAATTAATAATCGTGCGGTCTAAACCCATTTATCTCGTGTCATTTTAATATTATTTTATCGTGTCGTGTCTGAAATTACCGGCCCCAGCAGAAACACAATATCGCCGGCCCTAGCGTCTCACTTGAAATTACTCATAAAACATTCCTTCAAGAGAGAAGTTTCTTCTTTTTTAAGTTTGGATTGGACCGCACGTCATGTCAATGTGGGCCTTTAGCCGAAGAAACACGAAACCCATCTCCAATGAACATGATCACGCGCAAAAATTGCCACGTGTCATATCCCACGCGGTCTCATTATTCTTATAACTAGCACCGAGTTACAATTTCCTAGAGCATTTTATTAGCGAAAAAAACTTCCTAGAGCATTTTGGACCACATCTCAAACATCGTCTAAAATTTGAAATTCTAAACAATGTCTACAACTTCTTCCTTGTTCTCCCTCCTGCCCCCACCACGCATTAATGATCCCGGCAATTCGACTAGCCGGAGAATGGGGTTCGGGCGTCAGCGTGCGAGGCGGCCTCAACGTGGCAATAAGGTTGCTTGTGCACTGCATAGGGATGCATCATTTGGTCATGGCCGTTATGATGGCAAGCTTGTGGATGAAGACATGATTGTGCTTAGAATGCGAATTCACGAAATGAAGATGATGGAGGAGAGTCATGCTGAGGTGGCCACTTATGATTGGATGGAGTGGGAGAAGAAGTATTATTGTGAAGACTACGAATCGGATATTTGTGAAGCTGTGGGGTTGTTGCAATCCCAGTTGATGAACACAAGGCCTAGCGTGGCATTGGCAATGCTGGGTCTGGTTTCGATAAGCGTGCCAATTTCTATGGGCGTGGTTTTGCTGCGTTTGTTAGATGTCGCTAAGGTTATCTTAGTTGGAGCTCATTGATCTTCGGATAATATACTATATATATGTAATGTGTGGATGTAAATATATAATCCCCTAATTGCTTGCGCACGTAACTAGTCTTGTTCTAGTTTTCATGTGCATCCATTTTGTTTCACTCAGGTAAATTTTTATATCACTGTGTATGTATATGATGCGATAATATTTACTCCTCCCATCCTATGGAAGAAAATATTTGTAATTTTAGTGTTCGTTTTTGAGTTTTGAATTTAAAATACCTTATTAAATGATTGGTGCTACCATGCTAGATAAATTTTAATGGTCATGAATGACAACTCAAAAAGGTAAAGTATTCCCAAAAAAAAAAAAAAA